AGATGATAGAGGGAAATGCTTTTATGCAGCAACGTTCGAAGCTAATTGTTGATTTCATTCGTCGGCTCAAGTGCCTTGATCCACAAGGCTCTAAACAAAGAGACTCGACGAGCTTCTTCTTATAGCGAAGAGGCAAAAGTAGTTAAAGAATCTGATGATTTGCGCGATGCAATTAGGCTTTGCGAGTGACAACGTGTTGAAGCCATGATGATGATCATGGTAACAACCCAATAAAACCTCGTACAAACGTCCAAACCCCACACTCCCGAAACCGACAGAACAAGCTTCCTCTGCTTGATGTTGATGGTGCCCTGCCAGTCCAAGGGAGGGAACTCGTACAAAGTTATGTGTTTTTTTTGGTTTCCCCATCTAGAATGTCAAAAAACTTTCAACATTTTCCTTATAAACTAAAATCTTTTCTTTGGAAAAAAAATCATAAAGTTTTTATGTTGAATCCAGAGATAAATGTGCGCGAAATTCGCCCACCCAAGATAAACATTCTGCCAGTGCCTATTCCACCTCCCCAAAGTCCAAGCCCCAAACAACCAAGTAGAATTATTTGCAATGGTACGTTTCGGTGACTTTTCTCTCTCTATTATTTTGCTTTATTTCTCTTGTTCTTGTTGTCAATATTATTAGATGGTAATTGATGATCGTTTTCTTACAAAAAAAAAAAAAAAAAAGGGATAGAAAATGAGAGCTGCCATGCCATTCTAAAAATGGAGCCTCTTTGCCATAGAACTATTTTATATGTCATCAGAAATAGTAAATTTAATTGTAAAAATTAAGTTAAAAAAAAAAAAAAACAAATACCATACTGTACGGTTTGTGAAGATGCCCTAGCCGAGAATCCGTCACGAAAAGGAACCCAATGAACTGGAGGGATGATTGTCATGTTGTGGGCTTTTCGTATTAATTCTGAGCCATAAATGGAGATACCAGTTGATACGGGCTTGGCATGCTTGTGGTTCGAGAAGTTGTCCCCCTGTCGAAGCAAACCATCCATTTGCCTTCTTGGAAGATTTGGGCCAAAAGCCCCATTTTGCTTAAAGCTGTTACCCTCTCCAGTCTCCAGGAAAAGAAAAATCTGTTCATCTTCCACCTCCCAAATCCCCACTGAAAAATATTATATGAAAATTCAACGGGTCGGGTTCTGATTAGAATTGAAATTTTCGGATTCGAATCCGTTTTTTATGTAGTTGACTCAAATCCGACCTATACATCCGACGGGTATTGATTTTAGAATTTTGGAACCGGATTTGATGGGCTCCAGGTCGGATCCAGATCTACCCAGAAAAGAAGATGTCCAAATTTAAATATTCCAAAATTAAATCCAAAATCAATCACAAATCCAATTTCCAAACTTAAACAAATCAAATTACAAAACTAAATCACAAATAACTTGCAACAATCAATTTGAAACTAATCACAAATCAATCTACAAAATCATTACTAAATTATTAATTTGGTAAAAGAATGTATTTACAAATATTTATATTTTATAATTATTAATTTATTGTTCGGGTCAGAATCAGATACGGGTCAGAATCCTATATTCCATATCTGACTGACCCTTTTTTTTGGTTAGAGTAAACGAGTCTAGATCTGGGTTCGGTACCGAAATTATTTTTTAACCAAAATTTGAAAAAAAAAATTATCGGATCCGGATCGGTTTCGGATCCAAATCCGAGATGTTGACACCCCTACCAGATATGCATCATATTTACTGTTAGTCAAAGATGTCCCTGGTTTTTTGCACATTTGTTTACATACTGTTACGATTCAAGGTTTTTCTGAGGGACGCTTCAAGGTTAAATGTTGTTGGCTTTTAACATTAATCAAGATGGAATATGTTTCACCTTATCGCCGCCTAGAAGTTTTTCCGAGCCGAAACCTCTTAGTACATGCGTTTTGGTCAATTCACTGTGCACCTGATGTTTTTTAATTGTTAAACAATGATGTCTTCCTTTGCAGAAAATTTTGCTGGTTTAAGTTGTAAAAGCCCCCACATAAAGGTAGCTTAGCTACTCACGGACTAAGGTGACTACGTGCTCTAATGATGATCGATAAAGAAGAAGCATCCTTGTCTGACTTTTGGGGCATGCATGGATTGCCAATCAGCCATGCTTCTCATATTGTAGCAAGCAAGAGGCATGATAATTAATCACAACTGTATTTGTTGATTTTTCAAAACCTCCTCCGGCCACAGCCCTTGCTCAACAGCCACCACCATGCCGCCTCAGCCCCGCCCCTGCTACCCTCGCGATGCATGTCCGGCGTCTCTTTTTATGGTCTATGATCTTCCATTAGCACGAGGAAACCTTTATCGCAGTTGATATGTAATTTATATATCTATATTATGATTGACAAAATGTCCACTGCTGCCAGCCTCTTCCTTGCTCCATATCTCTATCAGGACGGGTGTCCGTCTCCATTGTCATCTTTATTACGTCGCAAGAGTCCCTACTTTTCTTCACCAAAGACTTCATGCTAGAAATGAATGACACCACGGATTTCCCGTCCTCCAAGATTAATGAATAGCACCACAGATTTTGGATTATGACAATTTTACAAGACTTTCAGCATTTACTAACATTCTATTCAATACTTTACCCTGTCCCAACGACATCCTTGCCTAAACAAGATTACGGTACCTTGCTTACCCAATCTACGCCACCCACAACAAACATATGTACACTCGAAAGCAAAACGAGTTGCATTATGACATAAATTTGTGTCACTATTGGGGTTGTACTCCTTCGAGAAGTTGAAATTCACGGGGTAGCTCGAGCGGTCCGCTCCTATTTTTTAGGGTAGGCGACCTTCCTGGCAACCAGGGTTCGAGTCTCGCTGTTAATGCGCTTGGGAGATGGGCCTCTCCACCCGGGTCAGAGTGGATTAGTCAGATCCCGTAAGAATTGACCCGAAACCCACTCCGTCAGAAAAAAAAAAAAAAAAAAAAAGAGAAGTTGAAATCCGTACCGAATCGACGAGTTCAATTGGTTGAACTGGAAACCAAATGGGTAAAACCGCTAAACAAACCGATCAAAAAATGAGTTTGACCGAAAACCAAAAATCGCTTCGAATCGGATTTTTTTCATCTTTTTTTTTTTAAATCTTTTTTTGAACTACTCCTAAGTCTCTTCACATATCCTACCATCAATCTCTCTCAAACAACTCCAATGGAAGATCTAAGTTCAAAAAGAGATTAAAAAAAAAATGGAAAAACAAAGAAAGTAAAAAATTCACCTAGAAACATATTATTAATTTTATGATTTGACCCCTAGAGTACAAGAAAACTATTATTACACCTAGAAACATATTAGAACTTATAGCTAAAGCCCTAAATTCTTGTATTACTTTTCAAATAAGCCCTCCAATTTGGTTATAAACTTGTTGAATATGCATTAAATGGTAAATTGCATAAATTGCTACTTAATTATACTACTTTATTTGTATTTTCTTGTAAAGTATCTTAGAAACATCAAACATACATCGAACTTACCTGTTTTAATATTAATATTTTAAAAAAATTTACATAATGTATTCATTTTTAAAATTAAATATATTTATGATATAATGATAATATCATCCGATTCTTGGATAGATACCCGTTAACTCCTGATCTCGATCGAGTCGATGGCCGATCTGAGTTTCAAAACATTGGAAATAACCATAAAAAATTATGTATAAGATTATCAATTTCTCGAACTAGTCACTAACCATGGATCAAAGTCATCATAATCAGGAAGGAGAGACAAGATTAAACACTAAAATAATCGCCCAAAAAAACATCACCCACTGACCCGTACGATCACAACTCGTAGGGTCAACACCGACGGAGGCTCTCTTCTAATGGCCACCAGTCATCAGGACCTAAAACAGTTTTTATCGACACAAAATCGATTCTGAGGGTGCTCACCTCGGCCACCCCGCGTGTCCGAGGTGAAGTCACCTCGTCCCTCATCAGAGTCCATCCAGGTCTGGGGCATCGTCCCAGACCCCGGCCGGATCCGCAGTCAACCGTGTAGGTGACCTCGGCACCTCCACCTCGGCTGCACGATGATGAGGTCAACCCATCTGACATCATCCAGGACCAGTACTTTATCTGAAAAGCACTGGGAGCACTTAATGGCACCTGCACCATGTCCTCCGTCATCACTCCCAGGCGGCTACAGTGTCAGAGTCAGACTCCCTGACAGGAGACAGAGCCGTAATGTCAGAGTGGGTCCCACTAACATAAGTCCAGAGCCTCGCCTCTACTCTCCTATAAATACCTCACTCACACTCCCACCAAGTAAGCGGACACTGTTCATTAACTCATTCTCATTATTCTCGTTCTCATACTAACTTGATCGTCGGAGTGATACCAGGGGAGAAGCCCCGCCACTCACTTCGGACAAGGAGGTTCACTTCGGACACAGGAGTTCACCTCACTTCATCTCAGAGAGGACTGATCCAGGTCGGTCTAGTTACCAACCAAAAATCACCTCCTCAATTGGCGCCGTCTATGGGAACGAGACTACTATTACTAAAATGAGATCCACGCGCTCCAGAAGTGGTCGAGTTCCCTCAACTGAGGCTGGGCAGACCTCGGAGCCCAGCAAGATCGCATTTCTGAAGAGCAAGGGTCCCCGAGGACCCAGCCTAACAGCGAGGAGGCCATCGCCAAGATGGCCGAGTTCGTATCATACAACCCTACCATTTTTGAGGAGCTAGGAAGGTACCTCAAAAGACAAGGGAAAGAAAAGGCCGAGTCCTCCAAGAGGAGGCCGACGAAGTCCCCTGAGGTACCTTCAGGTGAAGACTCAGATGAGGGGCGACTCTCTCGGAGTACCTCCAGGCGCGCCTCCTCCAAGGCAACGTCTAAACTTGCCTCCATCTCCCGGGCGCTGTCTCGGAGACTGATGGGAAACGAGCTGAGGACCCACCTCGGCCCCCGGGGGCCTGGCTTCTGACTACATGAGGGCTCCGCCCTTTACTGATGACATCAATGGGAGATGGTACCCCCGAATTTCAAGCTTCCAAACTTGCCCACCTATGACGGCCGAGGTGATCCCGAGAATCACCTCCGCGCCTTCATCTCCGCATTCCGACTCTATTGCGTCCCCGACGCCGTGATTTGTCGGGCTTTCCCCATTTTCCTACATGGGACTGCCCGGAAGTGGTTCTGGAGTTTGGAACCGGGGAGCATTTCCTCCCTGGATGAGCTGATAGACCGGTTCATCCACCGCTTCGTGTCGTCTCGACCAATCACGAAAACTTCAGCTTATCTCTTGAACCTTCAACAGGGTCAGGGCGAGTCTCTTCGCTCGTATGCTCAAAGGTTCAACGAGGAGAATGTGCAAATACCTGATCAGAATGAGCAGGTAACTCTCGCGGCCTTTACCAACGGGTTGGTGGCCGGACTCTTCAACACCGAAATCCATCGGATTACCCCCGTACACTTCACGAACTCTGGGAAAGAGTGGACCAGGGAATCCGAAGTGAAGATGTTAATCGCATAAAGCGAGAAACCCAAGCCTCTCGTACGGGACAAGATACCCGGAGAAGGAAAGACATCGGCCGAGGTGAACCCGGCCCAAGTGGCACTTCAAATCCACCCCGGGACCGCCGGAGTGTCTTCGACCGGATCGTAAAAGGAAGATCATCCACCTCGGACGCTGAGCTGACACCACTCAATTCTAGTCGGTCTCACGTCTTGGCGGTGATGAGGCAAAATCACCTCGGCCGAACACCTCCTGAGATCCCTGGGAGAAGAGATAAGAGGAACTCCAACCTCTACTGCGCCTACCACCGAGACGTTGGGCACGAGACTGAAGATTGCAACGATCTGAACCGAGAGATCGAAAACCTGATCCGACAAGGATACCTGAAGCAGTTCATCCGCAAAGACGGAAGCTTCAACCGAAGTGCCTCCCACCGGGAGAGCCGAGGTCCTCGCCGAGAGGACAGGCGGGACACCAAGCTTAATTGCCGAGGTCCTGAGAACCACAAGGGGATCAGAGGCCTCCACGTGACGGATCACCAGGCTACGGCCCAAACATAGTCGGGGTGATCAACACCATCTCAGGTGGCCCCACGGGAGGAGACAGCCAGAACTCCCGAAAGCGGACACTGTTCATTAACTCATTCTCATTATTCTCGTTCTCATACTAACTTGATCGTCGGAGTGATACCAGGGGAGAAGCCCCGCCACTCACTTCGGACAAGGAGGTTCACTTCGGACACAGGAGTTCACCTCACTTCATCTCAGAGAGGACTGATCCAGGTCGGTCTAGTTACCAACCAAAAATCACCTCCTCAGATTCAAATTCACTAAGCCAAAATGATGATGATTCAGGAGAAACAACTCGAAAATTTACCTTAATCACGAAAACTCACCACATTATCATGACCTGCAGCCGCCTGACCATCATCATCATCAAGATTACTCCCTCGGATTGGATTCAACACTTGATCAACCTCCCGGAAAGATACAGTCAGACTGCTCAATTTTTCATCAATAGCATCAAGCTGGTTAAGAATAGACGGTGACGGGAGATCACCATTGACGACCCCGGAACATTGATCAAATATATCTTTCTTACTTTGGAAAGAATCCTTCGCGGCGTTGTAGAATTCCATCTTTTCTTCGATCTTTGCAACTACTCCGTCCACATAATCCACAGCCTTGCTCATGCTGTCCAGTTTTTGCTGCGTTGTACAGAGGTAGTTCATCTTATCAAAATTTTGCATGACATCTTGGGCGATCTCCGACAGAACCTGAATTTCAGCACTGACTTGATCCATTAGTGGGATAAATGCTGGCAGCTCGACATGAACGGCATTGCGGAAATGTTGCTCGGCAGCCCTGAAGCCATCAAGCATCTCTTCCAGAAGTAATCGGCATTCCGACGTGGCTACTCCGATGGCCATTGACGGAGTAGACAACTCAGATTTTTTTTTTTTCCCTTTTTAAATTCTCGCAGGAAACCTAGCATTGACAATACTACTAACTAACTGGAATAGACTCCTCAAGTTAAATAGCGTACAGCCCATGGAATCCATTTTCTTGATAACTTTTACATTACCCAACCATGTTGAGGAAGTATTGATAATCCAATATTCTTCACACACATAATATATATCTATAAAATGAGAATTTCAAGTTTTCCCTCTAAATTCTAAATTAAAAAATAAATTGCAGATTTTGACATTTATTTGATTATACTCTTGCAAACAAACGAGATAGGGATTTGTTTCTCAAAATTCAACAACGACTTGATATAGTGGCAATGGATGCTTCAGAAAGTATATAATAATTCCCTTCCTTTAAATTCCAATGATAAGGTGGTTTCCCTCACGGAGAAAACTGCAACCTGGGCCTCTTTTTTATCTGTTACATACACGATACAGGGTAGATCCCATGAATTCTAATTGACCTACATTTTTCTCCTGGATTCATCACCAGTACAATAAACAATGCTACATAAAAATGCGTATTATAGCAAAATACACGGCATTAGGCATTACGAAAACACTCTTTCCATTTGATGATTTGGTAAAAACCAAAGTAGCATTTTATGTGATCAACGAATTGCTTAACAAACACACCTTGCAAGTTCCAAGAAAGCGTGAATCATTCGGAAGTTTATTTTATTTTCGAAAATGTAATGCTGTCAAGAAAATTCAAATGTAAACCACAGTGAACAGTGTTGCGAGAACAATTAAGGATTCATGCACACAATCAACCCGACTCGACTCGTGCAGCCAATTTCAGAGATTTTTCCTGTTTAAAGGGGGAAAAAATAATTGATGACTAGGCCATGAAGGACAACTGACAAGCTAGTGAAACCTTTTCCTACAGTTTCGCAGGTATCAGAAAAGGCCATTTGAAGGACCAACTGGAACATCATCACCCATGCATTTACAGCCTCGGTTCCACAACTTTTGTTTGAAAACTAACCAAATGCAAGGTTATAGATGATGCCCTCCTACCTGCTACAAGTTTTTTTCCCATTACACATCCTTGCTATTCTGAGCATCTGCTCAGTTCGTATTCCAACAACTTGCAACCAGCGTCACATGAAGTTATGATTGAGGAGACAATTCTCCTCTGTAAGTCTTTGAAATCCATTGCAAGCTTTACATCCCAACTGCAACTGTCCCTGAGAAGTGGTGAGACCTTCAGAAATTTGAAATGCATTTCAACTTCTGGAGGTTGCATATTACAAGCTGACTGCTACTTACCTGTCATCAAGCTCTTCTCCACCGAGGGACTCCATCATACCTTCAAAGGTAGAGCGAAGGTCGTTGAGTATTTCAACTTCAATTTCCAGGCTATCCTGCATGGAGAGATAATGATGCAGAGCCAAGGATCAGGCTTACACGCTGACAAGGGTCATGCAAAGAGCTAGAGGAGGACCATTTGACAATTACAAAGTGGAAATGCAGATGAAAAATGAAGGACACTTTTGGCTTGGAATTACGTGGGTCTTTGTTCGTGAGATAGGCCCCCGAGCCCTTCGAAAGTGATCAAGCAATGGAGGTGCCAAACCATAATTGAAAATCCCATTGTTCCTTGAGAACCAGGTGCCCCGCACCATGTGACTGTCCCAATCAGACATGCGCCCTGCATCCTCACAATCTTCATCTTGGGCAATATCAATATCTGTCACATACAAGGAACTAAGTATAAAAGGAGGATAATCTATATGCGCTTCCAAGATATATGTTTATCTCAAGTCAAAATGAACAGCAAATTGTATGTTCATACAAGATTTCTGAAATGCAAGGAAATGCACAAAAGTAAACTCAATTATCTTATGGCCTTACCAAGCGGAATAACATCATAAGGATTTTTTTGTCGTGGCAAAAAGCCATAAAAAGTAAGTAAATGTGAGCTGGAGAAATTTCCATAGGTAAGAAAGCATTGCTCTCCTGCATTGCAAGGCCTTGACAAAGGAAATTTTACAGAATCTGTCAATGGATCTACTTTCCCATAGTGCGTTATGTGTGGACACGTCTGTCACAGAAAGAAACACAGGTATAAGCAGAAAAATAAGATAATCAATGAAAAGCAAAGCATTGTGTCTGGGCACCAAAAGCCAGTGGCTACTGCTTTTGAGAGAGTATCTGAGCAGGCAATAAAAACACATTTTTGGGGAAAGCATATTAAATGAGGGGAAGGAGTAGATTGTCGAGTCCATCCAGGGAATGCTAGAAGCAGAAACCCGCCCCCCCCCCCCCAAAAAAAAAAAAAAACACTTTTTCTTTGGCGGTGCTACAGCTGAATTTGTAGGTTCTCTTTCTATGGCCTTCTTTTTCTAATAAGATGTATTATGTTCTTGGTTGCCAAATCTAAATTAATATACTCAAGTAAAAGAGAGGAAGAAAAGCAGGAAAACTAAAATTCTGACAGACTGAGTGGTTCAGGAATCCAGCAACAGGAATTAAGCAGGTCCTTAGCTTTCCATCACTGAACATAATCTTCATGCTGTTGGAGTACCAGAGCTCACAAGCCAGAGAAACTGCTCCCATGTATAAAGCTCTGGTGGAAATACGTCAGGATAATTCTCATATAGGACAGGAAATAACTGTTCATATTGGTTACGTAAGTGCTGCAAGGACATAGGAAACAAACAGAAATCATTCACAAAAACGTAACAAGAAATGCTTACTGACAATTCAAATTCATGGAGGTCAGTGTTGCAATATTCTCGCCTATATGCCACAATGAAACACTTTCATTCAAAATTTCTGTAACTTCATCCTAAGACACAGATTAATGCCATTTTTCATTACTGAAATAACACAGAGGTAACAGTGTTAGTTCAATGAATCAAGTCCAGAAGTTAGAGAGACTTCACAAAGACTAAAGTTAACTTGGGATAGATAGAGGTTTCATATGAACATTGTACTGGAGAAATTTTGAAGAAAAGGCTTTGCACAAGAAAGTTTAGTGCATGATAGTTTCAATTCCACATATTTTTTCCATTCTTTTTTAAATGTGATTTATGCTTGGGTTCACTTGTGCATGCAACGAAGCAATCATCAAATAAATCTCCATAGAAGAATCAACTACATGCATTAATCTAAAGAACTCCATAAAATTCTAAAAGTGATTATGCTGTTTAATCAATATGCATGTAGAATTAGTTATCAAGAACACACTAAGCAAGCCTAAAAGTTTGCTGACTGAAATAGATTGCAAGGGAGATAACCTCTTTTGCTTGTACTATCTCTTCCAATAAGATAGTTCCATCTAAAGCCATGATGGCATTGACCCCCAAAGCTCAATCCTGTACATGTAGATGCATTATGAGAATCATGTCAATGAAAGGGTGAAATTGAATGCATAGTTGAAATTAGGACTTGAATTCTATAGCCAGAAAACTTTAGGCAATTATGTAGTTCAAGAAACTTAATAAAGTAGACATGAATACAGAAGTTTATAAAGAAAAGGAAACCTGTATTAAACACTGCAGGCAACGTATCGAAATATAACTTGAAATTGGAATTGCTGTTGTGTTTTCCTTCATGCTCCATAACAATAGCATTGTCTCTGAAGAAATCCCTCAATTTTCTCCAATATTGGAAACTGCCTTAAAGTACAATGACTAATGACATCACTACATATTTTAGATTCTGGCTGCAAAGTTTAAAAAGTAGTTAATAGCTCAACTGGAATAAAATGTGAAGTTGACAAAGAGAACTTAAGCAGAATGGCTTCTACTCTGTTGACAGAAAGTTGCCGTAGCACCATATGATGCATTAGTTTTTGCAGAAAGAAAATTCAAGCACATACAAGTCCATCAGGCAAGAGAAATTATGTTTCACAAGATGCATATTTAAGAGAAGAAAAAGCTTCTGCTAAAGATGCACATCAACAATAGGGCTTAAAAGTGCAAAATGTACCATGTCAGTTTCAAAACCAGGTCTCGGAAATGACCAAAGACACAGGGACCTCTAGAGCAATGTCCCCAATTTTCAGATCTTCTTTAGCGATAGCTCCTCTTCCAGCTCCTTCACATCTGTACCGTCAATAAAAAAGTGAAAATAAATAAC